ACAGACTGAATGTTTGTGTTCGTCCCCACCAAATTCCTATGTTGAAACCCTAATCCTAATACCTAATCCTAATCCAAATACCTAATATGTTGGAATTTGGAGATGGGGCATTTGAGAGGTAATCAGGTCACAAGGGTAGAGCCTTCATGAATGGGATTACAAGAAGAGGTCACAGAGCTAATTAGTTCCCTTTTTGCCATGTGCCGTTACAAGAATTGGATTGTCTACAACCTGGAAGAGAGGGCTCTCACCGAATCACTCGGGCACTCTAATGCCAGGTTTCCAGCCTCCGAGGTAAGATAAATCAGTATTTCTTGTTCATGTCAAGATGGTCTGACATGATTTGTCAGTGGTGATTTGTTAGAGCAGCCCAAACTAGGACACTGGGCTGCATTTCTTCTGGAAGCTCCAGGACAGAATCTGCTTCCTTTCCTTTTCTGGCTTCTAGAGGCTGCTTTCATTCTCTGGATCAAGGCCCCCTTCCAGTAATCACACGATTTTGACCTCTGCCTCCATTGTCACATTTCCTTCTCTCTGATTCTCCTGCCTCCCTCTGTCATGTATAAGGAGACTTCTAATTACAGTGATGCTACTTCAATAATTTAGGATGATCCCTCTATACAAGATTCCTAACTTAATCATACCTGCAAAGTCCCTTCTGCCATGTAAGGTGATGTTCACAGGTGCTAGGGATTGGGATGATAGGCCAGGAGAAGGCTGGGAACCCATTCAAGGCAAAGACACACCAAGGTGAACTGCTGAGCCATACACCACATACAGAGAATGAGAAGGTGTTCCTGTTGAGCTAGCCATTAAACTGATGATAGGCACTCCTAGAACATACTAGAGAGAGCCAACTTCTCTGGAAGTTCTGCTGTTCTAGATCAATGGTAAGGACTTAAGAGAATTTTAAATATTTACAGCTAGTAAGTGGCAGGGGCCTTCAATAAATCTGGGTTTTTCTGACTCTCGTGTGTTCTTGTAATCCCTCTCATCTACCTTAAACCAAGGCTGGGAATTTTCTGTTCAACTGAACCAGGGCCCTGGAAAAAAAAAAAAAAAAGAGCTACATCCCCTGCACAGACCAGTCTGGATCAAGAAAGAACTAGGATGACACAGGCCAAAGCAGAGCAGAAAGTAGGCTATATGCCCAGGCTAAGTGCTCTCCCGTGTGTCTTTAGGAAAAGGAACCACAAGTACATGAACCCCACTGTGCATCTTTAAGGGACTGTTTTATACAAGTAAGCCTAAATTAACACAGGCAGCATTGTGTTAACTGAGTCTCAATAAGCATGTCTTCATGAAGAAATGTCTTTACTTCCTAGAGGTCCTTTTACAAACCTTACCTGAAAAGTGAAGCAATTATGGTGCCCAGAGTGTTCCAAATCAAGTCAGTTGTACTCCTTGGAGAGCAGTTTGCTTTACCAAGGTTTATTTCTGCCTAGCTGTTCCTCTGCACACATAGGTAACACCTGAATCAATGCATTTATTGCATGAATTTCCCAGGACTTGGTTTTATGAAATGTATAGTTTAATAAAACTTGTACGTTTAATATTCCAGGCAGCAAATTCCCTTTCTCCAGAATTCCTGAGACTATGTGAAAAACAGAGAAAGCTCTAGCACAGGGCCTGAACATATTAGGCATTCTTTACATTGCTGTTGAGCTACCACATGAAGGCATAAATACACAAAGGCCTAAATAAACTCTCTTGCCCCGGGTCAATCCAAGAAGTCTGCTTGTTGGAAAATACCATTTAACTCCTCTCAACAAACCTTAAGTACGTAAATTGCACAGAAAGAGAACTCCTCAGTATCCTAGGTCTGAAAACCTTTCCATCTTACATGCATTCCGGTCAGGATATGATAGTGGTTGACGGTCTTGGAGACGTGAAGATTTGGGTTTGAATTCTGGTCCTAATACTTGCTGGGTTACGGACCTTGGGGAAGTGGCTTAACTTTTTCAGCTTCCGTTTCTTCATCTCTGGTGGTAGGATAATAATATTTAGCTTGCACAGCCATTTTGAGCATGTAATGACAACATAAGGAAAATGTTCCACAGTTTCTGGTACACTAATGACGAGGATGGTGATGGACGGTGGTGATGATGACATGTCTAGATCCAGCCTCCAGCTTACCCTTCTCCTCCAGGACAGACAAGTTCCCTGCTATGTGAGGTCCATGGGTCCCCAGGGACATGCCCTCCCAGTCCACCCCCACCCAGTTTGGGCATGGCCCCAAGACATGATCCACTGTCAAGGGGAGGGCAGGAGGGAGGGAGTCTAGGGCTTCTCCCTGATGTGAGCCACCTCTTCTTAATCCTCATCTTTCTCTCCTTTTACCCCCAGCTTCTTTTCCCACTTTCTTATTTGCCTCAAGATTTGACCTAAGGGGTCCCTCTCAGGGCCTCAAAGTCTTTTTTTTTTTTTTTTTTTTTTAAGATTTTATTTATTTATTTCACACAGAGAGACAGCGAGAGAGGGAACACAAGCAGGGGGAGTGGGAGCGGGAGAAGCAGGCTTCCCACTGAGCAGGGAGCCCGTTGTGGGGCTCGATCCCAGGACCCTGGGATCACGACCTGAGCTGAAGGCAGACGCTTAACGACTGAGCCACCCAGGCACCCTCAAAGTCTTTTCCATGTGGATCTTACTTATTTTAAAGATTGTTACAAAGCATTCCCTCTTAAAAGTAAACCTTTTGGTGCAGAAAAATCAAAGCAATACACAAAATCTAATCTAATGGATTGTAGTTCAGGCAAATTCCTGGAAATCATTAAAGAAAAGATTTTTCACTGTGTCCTGTGCCATTTTAACATAGGGTTATTCTTTAAATGTTTGCCTTAAGTAAGGGCTATGTAGATCTGCTCCTACTAACACAGAAAGAGAAACAGGAATTTGGGTTCATCAACAATTTCCCTAGAAATAAAGTTGAGTCTGGGGTGGTTGCCCGGCTAGAATGAAGAGCCTGCCAGAGCTTTTCCCCCAAGCGAAATCCTTAGTTCTGCCTCAATATCCAAGAAAAGCAAATCAGTAATGGAATCACATTTTCTACCTAGATACACTATCAGTCCTCCAGTATGCTTTGATGAAATGATTATCTAAAGAAGGGGTAAATTTTCATAACCTTCTTACAGTTTCCTACAATTAAAAAAATATATAAGACAATCAGACAATACACTTGAGCATGAAAAGACTAAGGAATGTTTATAAATCACCTCTATTTTATCTTCGTTCACTAGAAATAACTAAATTCAGGAGGCAAAAATGGTTTTTTCATGTGATTTACCCACCTGATATCAGGTTCTTATAGTACCAAAAAAACATGACTTAAGAGCTTTCTCCTTCTAACTGTAGTTTCTTCTAAAACCTTCATTGCAAACACATCACAAATGTCAACCCTTAAGAATAAGGTAAGAGAAAAAAAATTTTTTTTTGTTTTAATATAAGCCCTAGAAAGCTTTGAATCAATACCAACTGCTAATTCTTTTTGCAATGATACAAGCTGTTGTTTGAAATTCTCTGGCAGGGTGCCTGGGTGGCTCAGTTGAGATTCTCTGATTTTTCATATATTATTTTTCCTTTGCAAGTTTAAAAAAAAGAGAGATAAGGTCTATATAATTTTAGCAAGACAGTCAATCTTTCCAGGCAAAGTCTGACATACTAGATAAGATCAGGGAACAGTAGTTTTCTCTACTAGGAAAAATGTTCTTTCAAAAATATGAATGTAATGCAAGATAGCTTCTATAGCCTTCAATTTAATCTTTCAATATAGATTTACAGTTCTGCAGTATTGACTTATGGCCCATACAGGACAGAATTCAGGGAACTCCTGAAGATGTCAATTTCCCTTTCTTTGAAGTGTGCCTTAATGACCGTTTGCCTTTAGAAAGTTACTCCTTTCTATGGAAAGCTAACCAACACACCCAATTTTTTATTCCTGCTTTGTGAAATCCTCCTGTGAAACAAAACGGATTATGAAACTAGCTCAGGAAAAATCACAAGTTATCACCATCAATAGCATTCCATTTGTCTGTCTCTTCTCATCCTAGCACATTCCTTTGACCGGGGTAGAAAAACCCCACTCAGACAATCATGTGCCTCACTGAATAGACCCCAGATGATCCACTAGAGGCTGGGAGAACTGATGAAGGAAGAGGAGGAAATCTTTATTCCGACAGGAGTTGAGTAACATGAAAAATAAAAGTCAAACGGGACTTTTAAGGTAAGCATATAAGCATTCTGCATAATAAGACTGTGTCTGAGGTTAAGACCTTTCTTAGACTAAAACAAAAGTCACTAATGAATATCCTTTCATACCCCCAAACCACCACCTCCAAAGTCTTTTTCCTCTGCTCATCATCCAAGAAATAGCTTTTTAGCCTTATAACCATATAGAATCCATACTAACCAATGCAGTGAGTTTCTTAGTAATTCTACCACCCAACCAGCTAGGAAGATGTTAGACCTTCATGAAGACTGACATCAGACACCAAGTTTGGTTGCCTTTATTACTTACTCCATCAAGCTCAGGGGTGAAAACCCTTACTTATTTCTTTTATAACTACTCTTCCAACTTCTAAAGCTCAGATAAGCACCTTTTCATACTGTATTTTTTCTCTTTAACCATTTATTTTCTTAAAAGGCAGTAAGTAATATCTGTCACTTCAGAAGACTAGCCACTTGCCTCCTAACACATTACCTGGCTTATTCAGTTCTCCAAGCAGCATACATGAAAAGTACGCTCTATGATACGGTTGCAAAAATGTAAACGAGGGAAGTCGTCTACAGAGAAGTACACACATACAAGTGAAACCCGCCACCCTATCAACTTTTGGCAGAAGAGAAAAAAATGCAAAACACATTAGCAAGGAAAAACATGTTCAAGGCTTTCAAAGTCATTTTCGGTGATAAAGAAACTACCTACCTAAAACCACATCAGCAAAGGCCAAAGAGAGAGTAAAATTTATAACCAGAAAAATTGAATACAAAGTCATTGTACTCACTGTCTGATGGCTTCTGTCACAGTAACGCAGCCCAAAATAATCTATCTCCACAAGGTTTATGTGACGGAATACGTGGTCAAGGACAACAGAACCTTTCGTTGACTTCTGCAAAAATAATTCACAATTTTTTTTTTAACACGGTGTCTCATCTTTCTCAGTGGGACATAGTCACTATGACATAAGTCATCCAGTCTTAGCTTCGCCCACAATGGAAGCGATTTTATTAGCTCACGGTTCCCTCTTTAAGTTTTGCCTCAATTACAAAGAAAAGTGGGGTTGCAAGTGTATTAAAGAAATTCCTTTGAAAAACCATTTTTAAACTGTAGTGGGTTTTTAATTAATATAAGCTTCTTTTCTTAGGGGATTGTAAATTACCTTCAGGACAAAATTCTTCTCTTAATAAAGATAATCTTTATATGAAGAGGATCTAATGAATTCATCAAAAACCACTCACATTGGTTAAAATCCCAGTTCTTTCACTTTAAAAAGCAATTTTCACCTACAGCGTTACTCTCACAACACAGAAGATACACAGAATTAAAATAACAATAGCGAAAGCTTTTATTTTCAATCCTCAACTAATAAACCCATAGATTAAAGCTCACAAAGTTAATGTTCTGAAAAGCCCTTGTGAAGAAATTTTACTTTATCTCTTTCACATAAGCACAGATATAAAGAGAACATTTCCCCTGGCTGCTTTCTAAGATCTAATATATTAGACCCAATATATTAAATACCAATTATCATATATCTAAAGATAAACATTTATCAGCAAGCACTACTTCACATATCATATTAATCTTGAAAATAATCCATTTCAGAGGTCTACAGATACAGATACAGAAGAAATATCTACAGGGGCGCCTGGGTGGCTCAGTTGGTTAAGCGACTGCCTTCGGCTCAGGTCATGATCCTGGAGTCCCGGGATCGAGTCCCGCATCGAGTCCCGCATCGAGTCCCGCATCGGGCTCCCTGCTCGGCAGGGAGTCTGCTTCTCCCTCTGACCCTCCCCCCACCATGTGCCCTCTCTCTCTCATTCCCTCTGTCTCAAATAAATAAATAAAATCTTTAAAAAAAAAAAAAAAAGAAGAAATATCTACAGATATTTCCTTTCTTTTGCCCCACCACTGGCAGGTACAGCAGGGGAGTAAGAGAAATCCCCAAGAACTCATACACTGCATTAATGAAGTATGGCTTTGTTCAGCTGTGGTTTTCCCCAGAGAATTACTATCACTTGTTTGCTCATATATGGGGAGTACTCAAAATTGCACTGCTTTTAGAAAATGGAGTTGTAACGTAAGGGAAATGTTTTGATTAAATGTATTGTAAAATGGATAAGAGATGATAAAACCACACACTGAGAGAAGACCGTTCTTGTTACAAATCCCAAAGGTAGTTTTGTTTCCTTCTAAATTACCTTGGTTAAGCTTAATTGGTGTCTTTTTCAAAATCCATTGGATAATTCATAAACAAAAAGCCCTTCCATGATGGATCTTTGGTTTGGGACATGTTCTCCTATAATAACAATGCCACATCCAATCAATGTTCCTTTGTGCTCATGTACTTACATGTTTAGCTAGGTAAAAATCTGGAAGTAAAATTACTCTTTCTAAGGATGCACGTACTTACAATGGGCACTGCCAAGAAGACCATTACAATGTATTCAATGAAAGTACATTTCCCCATACCTTTGCCAACATTTGGTTGAGCAAAATTCTCCCCATCTGACTGAACAAAAATGAGGGGAGAGGGTAACTGTTTTAATTTGCACTTTCCTGACACTTAACAAAGTAAGTGCTCCATCATCTGCTTACTAATCAATTGCACTTCTTAGCATTTGGGTTAGGCATTCTCTAACCTGAAGTTTATGAGCAAATTCTCCTAAGTATAATACTTGCACAATTTTTTTTTTAAAGATTTATTTATTTGAGAGAGTGAGCATGTGTGCAAATGGGAGGGGCAGAGGGAGAAGGAGAGAGAATCTTAAGACTCCACACCTAGTGCGGAGCCTGACACAGGGCTCAATCTCACAACCCTGAGATCAGGACCTGAGTCGAAATCTAGAGTCAGACGCTTAACCGGCTATGCCACCCAGACGCCCCTGTACACTTTTACTTTGTATACTTAGCCCTTTCTTCCATCTGTAAATTATTTTTGTGCTTGGGATAAGGGCCTAACTTTGTTTCCAAATGGATAGACATTTTACTGAAAAGGTCATCATTTCTCTTTTGATATGATAAAAACTTCATCATCTACTAAATTAGCCCTTAATCTTTCCCACAGATTATTCCTGAACCAATCCTCCGAGATTTTAAAAATTCAGTTTTAATGTAATTTGTTGGAATCCACCATTCTTTTCTAAAATTGTCTTTGCAAATTCTTAGACATTTTTCTTTATTAGAGGACGTTTAGTAGCAGGTTGCTACTTTTTAGTTTTTATTTAAATTCCAGTATTGTTAACATATATTATATTATATATTATATATTAATAACAAACATTATATTAGTTTCCAGTGTACAATATAGTGATTCAACACTTCCATACATCACTGGGTGCTCATCACAACAAGTGCACTCCTTAATCCCCATCACCTGTTTCACTCATCCCCCTCACCCCACTTTCCCTCTGGTAACCATCAGTTTGTTCTCAATAGTTAAGAGTCTATTCCTTGGTTTGTCTCTCTATTTTTCTCCCTTTGCTTGTTTGTTTTGTTTCTTAAATTCCACATGAGTGAAATCATACAGTATTTGTCTTTCTTTGACTGACTTATTTCACTTAACATTGTTCTGAGGTCCATCCATGTTGTTGCAAATGGCAAGATTTCATTCTTTTTTATGGCCAAATAATATTCCATTGTAGGGGCACCTGGATGGCTCATTCAGTGAGCGTCCATCTGACTCCTGATTGCAGCTCAGGTCATGATCTCAGGGTCCTGGGATAAAGCCCCATGTCAGGGTCTGCACTCAGCAAGGAGTTGGCTGGAGATTCTCCTTCTCCCTCTACCTTTGCCCCTCCCCCCTTAAATAAATACATAAATCTTAAAAAAAAAAATATTCCAGGAGTGCCTGGATGGCTCAGTTAAGCATCCAGCTTACTCCATGCTGGGACATGGAGCCTACTTAAGATTCACTCTCTCCCTCTTCCTCTGCCCCTCCCCCCCCTTAAAAAATTCCATTGTGTATATATACCACCTCTTCTTTATCCATTCATCTATTGACTGGACACTTGGGCTGCTTCCATAGTTTGGCTATTGTAAGTAATGCTGCAATAAACACAGGGGTGCATATATCCCTTTGAATTAGTGTTTTTGGATTCTATAAATACCCAGTAGTGTGATTGCTGGATTGTAAGGTAGTTCTAATTTTAACTTTTTGAGGAACCTCCATACTGTTTTCCACAGTGGCTGCACCAGTTACATTCCTACCAATGGTTCAAGAGGGTTCCCCTTTCTCCACATCCTTGCCAACACCTGCTGTTTCTTGTGTTTTTGATTTTAGCCATTCTGACAGGTATGAGGTGATATCTCATTGTAGTTATGATTTATATTCCCCTGATGTGTCTGTTGGCCATCTGTATGTCTTCTTTGGAGAAATGTCTGTTCAGGTCTTCTGCCCATTTTTAAATTAGATTTGTTTTTTTCAAGTTGTTTAAGTTCTTTATATATTTTGGATAGTAACCCTTTATCAGATATGTCTTTTGCAAATATCTTCTCCCATCCTGTAGGTTGCCTTTTAGTTTTGTTGTTTCCTTCACTGTGCAGAAGCTTTTTATTTTGATGTAGTCCCAATAGTTCATTTGTGCTTCTGTTTCCCTTGCCTCAGGAGACATATCTAGAAAGAGGTTGCTATGGCCAATGTCAAAGAGGTTACTGCCTGTGTATCAGGTCTCACATTTAGGTTTTTAACCATTTTCAATTTATGTTTATATATGGTGTAAGAAAGTGGTCAAGTTTCATTCTTCTGCATGTTGCTGTCCAGTTTTCCCAATACCATTTGTCGAAGAACACTGTCTTTTTTTCCACTGCATATTCTTTCCTGCTTTATTGTTATTGACCATATAATTGTGGGGGTTTTTTCTGGGTTTTCTATTCTATTCCACTGATCTATGTGTCTACATGCCAATACCATACTGTTTTGATAACTACAGCTTTGTAATATAACTTGAGGTCCAGAATTGTGATTCCTCCAGCTTTGCTTTGCTCTTTCAGGATTGCTTTGGCTATCTGGGGTCTTTTGTGGTTCCATACAAATTTAGGATGCTTTGTTCTAGTTCTGTGAAAAATGCTATTGGTTATTTTGATAGAGATTGCATTAAATGTACAGATTGCTTTGGGTAGTATAGACATTTCAACAATATTGTTCTTCCAGTCCATGAGCACGGAATGTCTTTCGATTTCCTTGTGCCGCCTTCAATTTCTTTGATCAGTGTTTTATAGTTTTCAGAGTACAGGTCTTTCTGCTCTTTGGTTAGATTTATTCCTAAGTATGTTATTATTTGGAGTGCAATTAAAAACAAAAATGTTTTAATTTCTCCTTCTGCTGCTTCATTATTAGTGCAGAGAAATGCAACAGATTTCTGTACATTGGTTTATAATCTCTGACTTTACTGGATTTGTTTATCAGTTCTAGCAGGTTTTTTTGGTGGAGTCTTTTGGGTTTTCTATATATAGTGTCATGTCATCTGCAAATAGTCAAAGTCTTACTTCTTCCTTACCAATTTGGATGTCTTTTACTTCTGTTTGTTGTCTGTTTGCTGTGGCTAGGACTTCCAGTAGAGGTGAAAGTGGACATCCTTTTCATGTTCCTGACCTTAGGGAAAAAGCTCTCCATTTTTCCCCACTAAGGATGATGTTCAGCTTGCTAATTTAATAAATAATTCTGTTGGGGTTTTGACTGGAATTAAATTGAATTGATAGACTGGATGACTTGGGGAGTAATGATAGCATATTTACAAAGTGAAATCTATATGGTTTTCTTTTATGTCCTTCAAGGATGTTTTATACTTTTTTTCATGTAGGTCTTACAAAATTCTACTCAAGCTTTATGGCAGGCAAAATTTACAAAGTGCCCTCTCCCCCAAAATAAATCCTGTTCTAATCCCTGGA